GAGAGAGAGAGAGAGAGAGAGAGAGAGAGAGAGAGAGAGAGAGAGAGAGAGAGAGAGAGAGAGAGAGAGAGAGAGAGAGAGAGAGAGAGAGAGAGAGAGAGAGAGAGAGAGAGAGAGAGATTTTTTGTCTTTTGACTTTGCAATTCGATTTCATTTTTTGAATTTTCGCGGCAATTTCATTGTCTGACAATTCGCTTTGTTTTGGCGGGAATTCTAATCACTTTGTCGACAAATCACACACACACACACACACACACACACACACACACACACACACACTGAACGTGTTCGCCATTTGGCTTTTGGAGGCACACTCCCAGGGATCATGGAGGCGGGCGATTGGCAGGCATTGGAGCAAGAAGGCCAGTGGCAGCATCAGCTTTTGACTTCGCTGCAGCGGCAGTTGGAAGAGGCCAAACGGCGCCAACGGAGTGGTGTGTTTTCTCCCTTGTTCCCTCTCCGTGTGTTGGGTAGCGCTGCTTCATATTCTCGTGACACTTGCACTTAGATGCCGAAACACGCGCCAAGCTGCAGACGGCTGTGGATAATGGTCAGTCTTCTTTCATCCAAGGCTCTGGGTTGCCCATCGACCTCAAACCGCCTCTGATCTTGTGGCTGGGTGAACACCGCAGCGGCACTTGGACATGCCGCTGCAGAACAGCGCCTCAATGCCGTGCGAACACAGCTGGAGCAGATGCGGCGCCTGTTTGAGCACCGTCGCACCAAGTTGCAACGTCTCGAGGCCACCTATGAGGAGCTTTTGGCCACCGTGGAACGCCGCTTGTAGGTCGATGCTTAAAAACACGCCACCCGTAAAGCTTTTGTGATTTGAACTGACAGCGCGATGTGCCCTGGCTATGTAGAGACACCTACTGCACAACTGCGTGCGACTTGGCACGCTTTGCTCTGGTGTGATGCTCCAGACCTGCCTCTTTTGAGTGCGTGCCAAGACTTGAAATCGATTTCATTTGCGGCAGCAGAAAGGCGTGACTCAAGTCGTAGCACCACTGCCAAAGAGGTCATTCCAGGCTTCGTACGCCGTGATCTCGGTTGGCGCCACGCTGGGCTTGACTGAAGCGGATGCACTGACAAGATCCTCGTACGAGATGGCGCGCACCTCAGCCTTGTCGATGGTGAGGAGCTTATCTCCACACTCACGCAGGGGGATAAACGAGGCTTCCTTGCACAGCTCGACCACATCAGCGCCCGAATAGCCGGCCGTACGCTGAACAATGGCCTGTACGTGTTCGTCCGAAAGAGCGTGTCGCTCCGATTGAAGACTAATGCGGATCAGGGCCTCGCGGCCCAACTCATCCGGCAGCGGCACATAAAGGCGCCGCGAAAGTCGTCGGCGAGCTGCCTCATCCAACTCCTGAGCCCAAAGAACGGTACGCAGCCGACAAGTTGACCGAGTGCGAATGAGGAGAAAAAATATCCATACATGAAAAAAAAAAATGACAACACAACAAAACGAAACAAACGATTGAAAAGAAGAAAACAACCTTCCTCCTCTCCCCAGAAAAAAAAAAAAAAAAAAAAAAAATACAGGCAAGCCTTGAGCACGCTGCTGCATTGAAAGAGTAAAAATTACACCACAAACCTGCGGGCGATTGGTGGCGCCGAGAACCAAAAGTCGCTCCGACTTTTCCGTTGTGGCACCATCCTGCAATCAACAAATTTCATTGAGCAGGGGCAACCAGCAATGACCGGTCTCGTGCCCCTCACCTCCCCATGACCCAGCGCGCATTTCAACTGATGAAACCGAATTCCTGAAACAAAGGGCGCCATCACTTACAAGCTGCACCAAGAATTCAGTTTTGATGCGTCGGCTACCTTCGTTTTCCGAATCAGTGCGCGAGCTCAGCAGTGAATCAATCTGTAACCACCGACGGGCTTTGATTGAGAGAAGAGACGGCACACATGGTCAGTTCGAGCCATACCCCAGTCACCGACGACGCACCTCGTCAATAAAAATGGTGGCAGGCAGGTTCTCGCGAGCAACAGCAAAGAGGGCGCGGACGAGCTTTTCGCCCTCGCCGACCTGTCGCGCACAGGAAATTGAGGCACCTGGGATAAAGCTTGCCCTGCGCGCACGCACAAAGGTTCAACTATCAGGCGGGCCTAATCCTTTTTGAGGCGTACCCATTTGGAAGTGAGGGCTGAAGCACTGATGCTGAAGAACGTGGATTGAGCTTCGGTCGCAATGGCTTTGCCAATCATGGTCTTGCCCGTTCCCGGGGGCCCAAATAACAACACGCCTAGCATTCAGGGCCCAAATGGGAAATGAGGCCAGTGCAAAGACATCATGCTGAAACGCAGAGTGGCGAGAACGCTAGCTTAGCGCAAGGCGCAGTCAGCAAAACAGAGGTTCACCTTTGGGAATGGAGCGGAGGCCGGTAAAAATATCAGGCCGCATCATGGGCCAGATGACAATTTCCTTGATCAAATTTTTCGCCTTGTGCAGGCCAGCAATGTCATCAAACTTGACACCAGGGTCTTTGGTCATGATCTAGCGACACCATCACAAGCCCCAGTGAGATGATCTGCCATCAGAGTGCTAAAGGCTGCAATCGGTCGAAAGGCAGGGCCTGGAAGTTGTTGGCACCTCGTTGCGAATGCGCTCCACGAGCTTTTCATCCAATGTGTTGAGGAAGCTGTCCTCGCCTTCTTTGGCCTCGGTGCTGTTGCGCGAAGCTTGCCCAACAGCGCCTTGGCCACCCTGGCCGGCACCGTTATCGTCGGTACGAAATGGCGCCACATAGCCGTTATCTAGCAAGGTGGGGCCACGCAAAAGAATTAGTTGCCCGTTGTTTGGGGTGGAGTGCGACTGGCTGAGGGGCGTACTGGCATGCCGACGACTGAGACCAAGGCCTGCGCGTTTGGCTGGGCGCTGTCCACCCCCACCACCACCACCACCGTAACGATCACCGCCTCCACCGCCGGCACCACCCATGCCCCGACGACGCTTTGCATCGTCCCGAGCCTACCGTGGACGAGCACATTGAAGCAGGTAAGGGTCACAGCATCGCACGACCACACTGCAGGGAGGCCTTTTGGGCATGCATGCGGAGCTACCAACCAATTGTTCGCCGGCAGTGATGAAGACCTCTGGAGCATTGGGTGCGGGTGAAGAGCCGGCAAAGGATCGCGAGCGTTCCATGTGATGACTGCCATGGCCCTCCGAGGGGTGGCTTGGCTGCAGGCTTTGGCGTCGAGCCCGCTCCTCGGCACGGGAGACCTCGGCGCGCAGGTTGCGGATGAGCGTGTCACGGTCACGGAGCTGTGTTTGGGCTGCAGACAGGGCTCCGCGTAGCTCATGGACGGCCTGTTCCAGGGTCTGGTTGGCTTGCTGAAGGCGGCTATTATCGGCCTCGAGTTCGTCTAGCACCAGTTGCATGCTGTCCAGCTGTGCCTGCGTGGTCTGCTGCTGGGTTGAAGCGGCTGATGCGTGTGTTTGCGGAGGTGAGGTGTGTTGAGACCCCGCAGCAGGCGCCGCGGCAGTGCCCGGTCGGGAAGCAGCTGCCGATGGAGAAGGTGTAGCGTCGGTTGTCGTGGTCAGTGAGGGTCGGCTATTCGGCGAGTCGTGGGTGGAGCTGGCCCCGCTCTGGAGCCGTGGGCCCGAGCGAGTGTATTCCTATGTTGTTGAAAGAATACGCAAACGTTGATTTGTGATAAGGCGATGCAAGGGTCGAACGAGACGGGGTGTGAGGGGTAGAGAAACGACGCGCGCCAAAAATGCATCAAGGAGTTCCAAAAAAAAAAAAAAAAGAGAAAAGAGAAAAAGAGATTAAAAAAAAAGCACGTACGCGGGCCCATGCTAGGAAGGTTTCGCGTGAAGCCGGTTGAACGGGTCTTGTGTCCTTGGGCAGTCGGTGGTTAGGATGTCGCCAGCGTGGGGCGAGATGTCGCTGCCAAGCCTTCACCGCCTGTCGGCGAGTGGCATCGGCATCGGCAAGCCCAGCGTTGTGGGCCAGCTCGAGCCATTCACGACGAGCACAGCGTTGAATCTGCACATGACGTGACGGCAAAATGATTTGAAAACAGGCTTGGATTTGGCCTCCTCCCCGGCCCGGCCGATGGCTTGTTAGGGAGAGGCAAGGGCAAGATCCAAGCGAGACGCACCTGAGCTTCGTCCTTTGGTTCAGCGTTGGCAGCCTCGTGGAGGGCAAACGTTAGGGGCTGGATGGCACGCAGCCGAACCTTCTCGGCCTCGGGCAACTGTAGCAGTGGGGCTGGCGGCGGCATTGCGGCGAGAACCACGGCCAGCACCACAGCCTCTCCCTATCTGTGCCCCGCACCACCCACGTCGCAAGCGTACAACGAGCGCAGCCGAGGCACGTACAGCTCGCTCACGCAACGGCCGCACACCAGTCACCGTTGACTTGCCGGTCGGCGGATTGCAATCAGAGTCGTACAGCTCAATGCCTACACCCGTCATGAGGAAATGCAGTCATGGGCAGCATACCACGTCAATGCTTCATCCCAATCGTACCATCCCAGCCCATCGTTGATCAAGCATCCAACACTCTCAAACATCGCCTCATCCCCTCCCCCCCATCTCCCGCCCGCCATAACCCCTCCCTCCCCACCGGCGCTGCCAAAGTCTCACCACAAGCAGAACCAGAACCAGAACCCGCAACGAGGCAAAAAAAAATACGGAACGTAACGGCTTGATGTACAAGAGAGAGAGAGAGAGAGAGAGAGAGAGAGAGAGAGAGAGAGAGAGAGAGACTTGAGTGATTGTCAGCATTATTTCCCTCATTGTCAGCACTTTTCTGACGGTCTATTCCTGATTGTCAGCATTTTCACACAGACACACACACACACACACACACACACTCTCTCTCCACTCGATTGTCAGCAATTTCGAAACAGCGCTCGCTTCGTCAAGGTGATCAAGGGGAGCGGGATGGCTTGGCAGCCACGGTTTCTGGTGCGGACGCTGGATGGGGTGAATGTTGATCCGGTGCAGCTGCGTCGGCGGTTGGTGGAGGATGGGTTTGTGATCTTGCGAAACTTTTTTGAACCCGCCATTGTGCGGGAAGCGCGAACTGCTTGCCGCATCCTTGAGAATGAGGTCCGTGGCGGCTGCACATGCTTGCGAGTGAGCCGAGTGGCGGGTGGCTTCATACTATCGAGGCGTGCCACACCTGATTGAAAACCGTCGCGGCAGACGCTCGCGCGTCTGATAGAGGAGGGTCACGTCCAGGATCTCTGTGCGGAGCTTCCTTTGGAAACGCGTTTGGCCAAGGCTTGCCGAGCCTGTCCGGAACAGGTGCGGCAGGCCGCTGCTGCAACCCGTACTGGGCACATGTGCGCTCGCGCTCACAGAAGTCTCAATGGATATTCACATCTTACCAAATGGCATGTACGTGTCGGCGGTTGCAGGTGCCAACCCTCTTTCACTCTGAGCTGCACCTGCTGCAGCTCTTTGACCTGTTTTGTGGTCGCGACCTTCTGGAGATGATGCTTGCCATTACCGGTACGCTGCACGCCCCCATCACGACACCCTGCTTGCAACTGCCAAGCACGCCCACTTGCGCTTATAGAATAATGATTCTCTCCCTGCTTTCTTCTTTTTTTTTCTTCTATCTCACTCTTGTCAACTTGGCAGGCGCAGACGAGCTGCGGCTGCTTCCCAGCTACACGATTCGTCCCAAAATGCCCCACCTGGAAAGTCACAATCTGCCCTGGCACCAAGATGGGGGCCTCGATGAACACGGCCAACCCCAGACGCGCGACATTGCCGACCTCCTCGAAGCTTTTGGTCTGCACGATGGCTACTTTCGGTAGGCGCGGCTCTATGGTACTTGTCATCAGCGTCGTCGCCACCGCCACCACCACCACCACCACCACCACCACCACGTGATGTTTGAATGCGGGTGCCAAGAAAGTGGGGCACTACTCACAAAACGTCGTTGCGCCCGACTTTGCCCTTTTCAGGACCATCAACTGCTGGGCGCCGCTCGTGCAAGCCAACAAGGCAGCGGGATGCCTACGCTTCATCCCTCAGAGCCATCGCCAGGGCCTCCTGTCTCACCTAGAACTGAGCCAAACTGCCAATGGAGGTCCCAAGCACCCCACGCAGGTTGAGCCGGGCATCATGGCCGAACTCGAGCCACATGCTGTGGACATTGAGACGTCGCCCGGAGATCTTGTTTTGTTCAGCAACTTGCTGGTCTATAGCGATCAACTCAATGAGTATGCAGAGCTTGCCACTCACCCCGCCCGCTCTTCTTCTTAGCAACGGCCATTCCATACACGCTTCTCATCTGATGCCGTTGCATGGTCCGAAACGCTGCCTCTAGGCGTCAAGGTTACGTCCGCTGGAGCGCCGAGTGGCGCTATCAGGATGCCGAGCAAGTGGCCGCAACGGAACCAGGCCTCGGGCACATTGTCCGCTCGCTAATTGATATCGACAACGAGATCCAGTCGCCCCAAGAGTGGGCCCTGGCTTCGGCTTGACCCTTGGTCTCGGCCGTCAATAGACTTTTGATGCTGAGGGAGGGTGGTTTTTGTGGCCACCCCTATCGCTGCCCCTGCACCGTGTTCTGAGTGATCGTGGTCAGCACCAGAGGTGGCAGCTTCCATGTGTCTTTTGATCTTCCTTTCCCTCCTTTTCTGTCATCATCGGCCTCCGACCCGCCAGAGCTGCGCTCTGCCTCCAAATCAATTTGAATCGACTCCACAAACTTTGATGATTCTGTCATCGCGCTAAATTGCCAAGGGGGATAATATCATGATGCCGCGGATGTTACGCGTGGTGACCGTGCGGCGCTGCGCGGGGCCTTGGCCTTGAACGCCGGTTGGACCATGCCGGTGGCCACGGTGCCTTGGTTCAAGAGCAAGCCCTAAGGACCACCAGGAATCATGGGATGAGATCACGACCAGCACTGTGCGCACCCCTGCCGCTGAGCAGGCAAGAGCAAGGGGATACCGAACGAAAGAAGCAAGCTCATACCTGGCTCTCGAGCTCAAACTCAATCTCCTGCAAACGTCGAAAAACCTGGGCGCCTGCACCCAATGGTAGAGGGCAGATCAGTTGCTTGGCCATGATTGCCGTTGCCTGCAAACATAACAACGAGCGACGCGTGAGAAGGCAGCCCCGAGGAAACCAGGTGAACGAGGTGAGGCTACACTCTGCCGGGGACTCGACCCACCAGGTCGGCCGAAAGCGGCTCGTCGTTGGGGCCTCCCAGGGCTACATCCACCACAACGTCGCACCGGGCTTTTTGCGCCTCGCCTACCAACGCACGAAGCAAACCCGATGAGGCCGCTCCTTCCTCTCGCTCTGAAGTCTGGCAGATATTGCTGGCCCTGCGCCAACTCGAACAACTCATGCTTGCCCACCCTGCCTCTACTCGAGTACAGCACGTCCACACGACGTACGGGCTTGGCGGCAAAAATTGGATATCACAGCACACTGCACCAAGTTGAGCAAGACGCCCGTAACGCAGGTATTTTGCTGAGCGTGGGTGCTTGAGTCCTGGCCAGCCAAGATGGCCGCAGCATCAGCGGACAAAACAGCGTCATCCGTAGCCTCCTGCTCTTCGCTGGCCTCAACAGAGGCATCTTCCTCAGCCACGGTGACCTCTGGAGCTGGTTCGGGCGTGCCCGCTTCACTTGATGCAGGCTCATCTGCTTCGCTATCGTCAATGCCAAATAAACTTGGGATGCGGCTTGGCCGTGATTCGAGAGCTTGGTGGCATACAATGTGACAGCGCCCATGCGCGGTCGTGCACAGGTGTTGCCAGTTTTCCCTCTCCTATAATGCCGACGCGAATATCAGCTGAAACGACACAGCAGCCGTGGGGGGCTTAATTTAACAGCGACCCACTTCGGGAACGGCACGCAAGGGGTCCACAATAAACACAAGGCCGTGGCTGTGTGTTAGCCGGGCCAATTCGTCGGCCTGCAAGACGATATGAAACGGAAAAGTGAGGGGCTTGGCAGCTCAGGTCTCAGCCGCAAGGTTGGAGCGAACAAGTTGTGCTCTGACCAGCTCGCGGCCCGTTTTGGAGGTGCCGATGTCATAGCGATCCTTCTTCGAATCATAGCTTTGATTTACAGCTAATCGAGCATTGGGCATGGTTGTAGAGGGTCAGATGCTGTGGGGCAATCATGTCATGGGGCGCATGCTTTCACGCACCGAAAGACAAGCCAAAATAGAAGTCGCGGCCAAGCTGCATGTTGACCGTGTTACCGGCATCGCGCAAAAGGTCGACGACCTTGTCGAGCTAAAAACATAGGTAGCAATTGTGGTGGCACAGCGTGAGCAAAACGTGAGCACAACTGCCTCGATCCAAAAGCCTAGTTTGAGGTGGTGGACACACATACCGAATCAAAGTTCATGGAAAAAATGCCATTGTCGTTTGGCAGCAAGGGTTGTTTTGTGCCCGCCTTGGCCTACCATCCCAAAGAAGTAAGTCATCAATCAGACGCCAACGGGCTGTACCGTTTGGGTAGGAAGCGTGTCACCCAATTCAATCCTCAAGGCGTACCTGAACGGCTTTGGTGAGCTGGAGTAGCATTGGCACCATGTTCTTCATGGGCAGTTGTCGTGCCATTCGCACATAGACACTGCGTAGTCGAGCTTTGCCACCTGTTCATGATCGGTACGGAAAACCGGATTAAGAGTTGATGGCCAACAGTGGTCAAACATGCAGCATGGTTAGCATACCTGTGCACTGAAATAGCTCGATCAATGGAATAGGCACGCCGCGGTGCGTTCCATCCTCCCTGCCAGCCAGGCCAAGGCAGATGCCCAACGTTATGGTGAGCGAAGCGCGAAAGGGAAGAACGGACAAGAAAGCAGGAGGAAGAAGAAGAGGAAGAAGAAGAGGAAGAAGAAGAAGAAGAAGAAGAAGAAGAAGAAGAAGGAGAAGAAGAAGGAGAAGAAGAAGAAGGAGAAACATGAGAGGAGTTCAGGGGACAAAGGTGTCCAAGCTAGGACGCACGGGCGGTCAAAGATTTGGCTCAGGACGCGGTGAACGGGTTCACGCTTCACTTCGGCCAATGCTTGAACGGTCGCCAGTGAGGTGGCTAGCACGGGTTGAACACCCAACTTGTGGCAAGACAATCCAGCGGCATGACGGTGAGGACAGGCGTACGGTCAAAAGCTGAATGTTTGTGCGACGCAGTGTGGGGCTGGTGGCAGGCACCGTACCGACGGCAGGGCCAAGGGGTCAGCATCGAGAGCTAGCATGGCATCGTCGATGCCCTCAATGTTCTCGAGCTGCAAGCCGTACACCGCCGGGCTGATGGCCTCGTTCAGAGTTGTGCAGACAGGCCCTAGAACGTTGGCGTCCTGTTGGCGCAGCGAACAGCGTCGGTGTATCGTATACGGGAAGGCGACGAGGCAAAGAAGGGGGGCGCCAAAGGAAAAAAAAAAAAAGATCATTAACCCTGGCATCAGCTATCAGGAGCATCGAGGGCGCGTTCACTCTGGAGCGCACCTCTGTCAGGTCGAGGCGCTCGACCGGGGTCGCTGGGGCCACCGGTACAGTTATGCGACGCGTCTCATTGTCCTCGGTGGTCTGCTTGGGAGAGTAAGGCGAGTCAGCAAAGTGAGCGGCGGCCAGCAGGTGACAAATGCAAGGGTACATTTGCTTCAGCAGAGTGTGGGCCTTGCCTGATCTTCCGTGTCGTAAACGCTACGGGGCGGGCGCACAGTTGCAAGGAGGCGGACAACGTTGTTGACACGCGCAAAAAGACGGCAGCCCAGCTGCGGCATGCCATTGTTGCCAATCGTGGACACGGCTTCAACCTGTCCAAGGCAAATGCGTTTCAATCGTGAACACTCCGTCAAAGCATGGTCCAGGGATTGACGGGAGGCGTCCAGCTTGAGCTGATCCAGGCAACGACTGGCTGACTCTGGGCGAGCTGACTCACATGATCGATGGTAGCTCCGTGGCCGCGGGTGCGAAAATATTCCGCCAAAAAGCCAATCACATCTTCCGGCTCCTCCTTACATGCAGCATTGAGCGCATCCTCCACTGGGTTCAGTACCTGGCTGGCTGCAATCCAGGCCTCGGCTGCCACTTGCCGCTCGGTCATCTTGTTGCCGTTCGTGTGTGTGTGTGTGTGTGTGAGCGCGCTGGTTGTCAAGCAGTCGCCAGACACAATTGTCTGACAATACAATGTTGAGAACAGAAATTGTCAACATATCCTCTTGTCAGCATCAAAATCAAAGATAGAGAGTGACAGGAACAAAGATAGAGAGGGAGGCACTTGGAAGTTTTGTTTCCTGGAAGATGGCGGGTCGGGTGTCACATGGGGAGGCACAGGAGATGTTTGCGCTGCGGGTGGCGGCAGCGTATGGGCGTGCGGCACCAAATTTGGCGCGCAACGTGTTGTGCAATGTGCTGGAGCTGCCGACGGTGGGAGCTGGTGCCGGGAACTCGCTGAGTGAGAAGGCTGCGCACAGCCAGCGGGGAGGCCAGGCCCGAGGTTGGCAGCGGCAAACTTGTCTAAGCTGCGGGGCCATGGCCTGCGTCAACCCAACCCTCAGTATTGTGCGCGTGCGACGCAACAAGCGGGGCCAGCCGCACCTCACATGCCGCGTTTGCGGTGCCCTGTGGCATTCCTACGACCGTCACACCATGCAGGGCCTTCGTCGCACCAACGCCGCCAACGCCGCCAAGGCGCTGCAGGCTGCCGCGTCCCACCCTTCGACAACAAGGACCGTAGCCCCCTCCAAAACGACCCCCTCAGCTCAAGCTGGCTCATCAGTGACCGCCCCCGGTAAAAAGGACAAGCCAGGCAAAGCCAACAAAGCACGCAAACAACGCGCCAAGCTCAACAAGGCCCTCCAGCAAGCCGCAGGCCAAAGCAAAGGCGGCGGTGCCCTTCATGATTTTCTGGCCAACTTGAGTTGATCAAGGCCACTGCCACGACCTGATACAGTAAGGTGGCAGAGGGCCATCCTTCAGGCCTTGACTATTTTCTTTTGACGTCATGATAATCTTGTGGCTCTTTCTGCTTGTATCTCGATCGAGGCGCGCGCAGATTGAGTGTTCGATTTCTCTTGTGTGTTTTTGTTTTTCTCCATTTCTTCAAGTTTTACTTGGCCGTGAGCTTGGCTAGCAAGCCATCGACCTGATCCACTGAGTGGGTCGCAATCCGACGTTCGCTCTCGACATACTGCTTTGCCATCTGAGCCGCTGCCGAGTCACCGATCGCCTGTTGATATCCGCACGCCATGGGGAGGGACGCGGGAGGAAGAAAAAAAGATTGCGAGGCAACACACGCAAATCAGATCATCATCATCATCACATTCACACGCCTCAGCCCTCTGGACAAGGGCAAACAGGCCGGTGTTTGCTGGCCATGCGCGAGGGGCGAACACACCTCGGGATCGGCCGGAACAGCGTCTAGCAAAGTCGCGACCTTGCTGCGGATGAGTTGCAAGGCACGAAACTCGTTGTTGCGGCTAACCATGCCACCTTCCATGGCGCCCAGGGTCTGGCATTTTTGAGGATTCCGCAAATGGTCCTCAACCTCCTCTGCACCAATCATTGCCAGATTACAGACAAGACGCCCGGCATGCACACAACAAGGCAGGGCATACGCAAAGAAGAAGTCCGTGTAAGCAGAAACGCGGAAGATTGACACCGGGCTTCCAAGCGACTGGGCCCACCTTTACTCATGCTGGCCACTCGGGCAAAGGCCAACAATTGCGGGTCCAGTTGGTCATCGGTCGAGAGCACAAAGTCGCCCGCGCTGTTATGGGGCCGTGCCGAAGAGACAGCCCAAAGGACCACGACAAAGAAGACAAGGAATCAGGATAAAAAGCACGGCAGCAAGGCTTCAAGACGATGGAAGCCCAAGGGCGCGCCACATACGGAGGTACGGTGAGATTGCGCAGTAGCAATGCCTTGATCTTGTACAGGCTGTCCGTCTCATCGAGAGCTGTGATTGGGCAAGGGCATGTACACGTGAGAGGGTGCCGACGAATGCCGCCACTCGAATGGCCTCGTGCAAAATGTGCGTTGGTCAGAACACGTACAAAAGGGTACGTTCACGTAATCGTTGGCATGGCCCGCAAAGAAAAAGCCCTGGTGCAGTAGAAACTGGCCATTGTTGCGGTCACCATACCACATGGTAATCTGGCTCCCGGGCTTGGCGGGCGCAGGGCACACAAACTCGAGACACTCGCGCTCAGAGTCAAACTGAGTCGACATCTAGTTCAAGGGCGAACGAGTGAGCTAACATCTTGCCACCGACGAAAACGATCATATCTATCCGGGCAAGAAACACAAGGCAAGAAAACAAGGAAAAAAATCGAGGGGCGGGAAGGAGAGCAGATACACGAGCTCTTGTCTGAACATACGGGGTGGTTTGCATGGTTGATCATGTCCCAAAGAGGAATCAGGGCCAAAGTTGGTTTCATTTGTCCATCACTGTTGGGCGAACCGGCACTAGCGCGTGAGACCGGGGGCGCCTTGACTCCAAGCAAGTGCTGTGGGCGGTCCGAGCAACGTACGGTCCGGCTTGAGGAATCGAGTTTTGGCGAGTCATGACGGTGGCTACGGCCCAGCGCCAATCCTCAAACGTAAATGCTTCCGGTGAGAGCCCCAAGGTCTCAGGCACACCGGCCTCCTAGCATGGCGTACCCAGGTATCAATGAGGCGATTGGTGAGTTTCATTCAAGCAACCAACGTTTGTGAATTTGTGCCCTCGGACGAGAGGAAAACAGGAGCAGCTCGGATTTGCACGCACTGAGAGCTTGTTGTGGAGGTAGCCGTACTGGCGGCAGACGTGTTTGTAGAGGCGGATGGCTTCGACAAACAGGGACGAGCCTCGTAGAGACATGAGATCGGGCAAGTCCCAGTATAGTGGGACCGAATATGAGACGGGCAAGCAGGCAATGTAGGGGCGCCAGAAGGAGTCAAGATCGTGCAGCTCGAGGAGAAGGTGAAAGGCCAGGGTCACGTTGGGCATGAGCTTGAGCATGGTGTCACTATCCATGTAAGCCCCGAGGGTGGAGCGGCGAGCCGATTCTTCCGACAGCATACATGCCTCGGGTATCCGCAGCAGCGTTTCACCCGGGGCCGCCTCGGCCGTGGCCTTGAGTCCTTGACCCATGCCGTTGAAATGATCCACAGCCACCTAATCACGCTCGGACCCGACACGGCACGCGTGCAAGGGATGGTGTCAGCCAGGATGTCACGCATCACAGGCTGGGGCAGCACCGGTGCACGGGTGGCTTTTTCATCAAGTCAGGGTGATGCGAGGCTCCGCTTGTGCCACACCTTGTCAACGGTTGCTCCGCACTGCTTGAGCCAATCAACGAGTTCGTCATATTCCTCCTCGGCCGTGCGCTCTGGATGCACGGATAAGCCTACGCGCCCAGGGGCAAATTTCGGGAGGCAAGCGGCGAGCCAGCGACATGAACTATCCCACCTTTGTTGGCCCCACAGAAGCACATGCAATACGACTACAGACCTCGTTGAGCGCTGATGATTTGCTCAACAAACGTCCGCAGCTTGATGTGCTCTGCCAGCTCGTCTGCCTCGGAATCATGGGGCGAGGGCGGCAAGCTCGCCACTATGCCAACAGAACACCAAATGCCAGCAACAAGAAGGATTAGAGTCGGATCTCAAACGTAGCAGCCGGAAGACGGAAGACGCTGAGCAGCAGCGCGGTCTGTGTCGAGCATACCCTCCATCATGTTGCTGATGTGTTGGTTGACCAGAGCCATCTTGGACGATCCACGAAGACAAGGAAAATCTGCAGCCGAGCCCGTTTCCAATCAGCTGTAAACCACTCGCTTCAAGCAAATGCACTCTCCTGCCCCGATCCATGCCCGACCACGCACCACCCGCAACCAACTACACATACCCGTTTGCTCTCTGCGAAAAAAAAAAAAATTAATTTCTCTCTCTCTCTCTTAACATGTTAAATTGGCGATTGGTCAAAGTTGTATTTTCCACAACAACTGTTGTCAACAATTGCGTTTCCAGAAGGTACGTGACTCTGTGTGCGTGTGCCAGTGGCAGCGGGGAGCGCTACCGGGATTCATAGCGTCGTGATGGCGGCGGGAAGAGGGTATAAAGGGTGGCTCTGGACTTGAATGCATTTTTGGGTTTCTCCGCCCCCCCTCTCTCTCTCTGTCTCTTTTTTTGGGGGGGTGGTGACTGCCGCTGCCTCGCTTGACCAAGCGTCGTGGGTTCAGTGGCAGCGTGGGATAGCTGAATCTTTGGGGGAGGGGACGAGTTTTGGTGGCTCGACGACACAGTGCTTGCCAGGTTCTGGCTGCTTCTCGTACATGGGTCTGACTTGTGTTTTCTCAACAGTTGTGGTGACTGGGGTATTTGTCGTGGCACAGGAAGGAGTTCGAGAAGCTTCCTGGGCTGCTGGGGGGCCACTCTGTGTGTGCGTGTGCGTGCGTGTGTGTGGGTGTGGATGGCATTTTTCTTTTCCTGTGTACCCACATCAAGTACAGCAACTGTTCCATGCTGACCTCTGCTCGGCTGCCTCTTGGGAACTGAACGGCTCGCAGTTTGAGTTTTTGCTTCAATTAGAACCGTCACCATGGATTTGGATATGGACGACACCATGCCAGAACTCGAGACCACCCTGGCTGACGAGGGAGACATCTGCGGCGATGGCTCCATCCTCAAGGAGATTATTACCGCGGGTACTGGGTAAGTCGATGCTTTCAATGTTTGAACCACGTGACTCTTGTTCAAGGCTCAACGTACGATAGAGTCACTTGTGCGCCTCTCACTTTCCTGCCCACTCGCCGGAAACAGCGACAAGCCCATGATGGGCTCAAAGGTATTTGTCCACTATGTTGGCACTCTTGAAAACGGCGACAAGTTTGACTCTTCGCGCGATCGCGGCGACCTTTTTTCCTTTGAACTTGGAGCTGTGAGTATCGTTTTTTTTTTTTTGGGTCCTTTTTGTCCGTTTCAGCGTTCTGCTTCAGCGCGGTGTTCGATTTGCATGCTCGAAGCGCTTGTTGAGACATGGCTGATTGGATGCATTCCCCTTGCATGTGGCACCTTTGTGTAGGGCCGCGTGATCAAGGGCTGGGATGAAGGTGTTTCGACGATGCGCGTCGGTGAAAAGTCCAAGTTTACCATCAAGTCGCACAAGGCCTACGGCGATGCCGGCTCACCCCCCAAGATTCCCGGCGGCGCAACTCTGGTGTTTGAGATTGAGCTCTTCCGCTGGTCCAATGAGGAGGACGTGAGCACGCAAAAGGATGGCTCCTTGCTCAAGGCTATCTTGAGCCGTGGCGAGGGCTACAAGACCATCAAGGAACTCACCAACGTCACATTTTCGTACACTGTCACCCTGAAGGATGGCGATAAGGTGGGATTGGCATTGTGGGGGTGGAAGTGCAGCTCAATTTTTGAGACCTCGGCCTCGCTGGCCTCTCTGGCCTCTCTGGTTCATCCGTGCCGCCCTCGCAGATGTTGACGTTCGTCTCACGATACACGTTGTGTGCTCGAATCCCTTCCCTGCATTGGTGTGCGCGAATTGTGACCACAGGAGGTGATCCAGGTGCCCGAGGCCAACCCCAAGACATATGTGGTAGATGACGAGGATTTGCCTTTCCCCGGCCTAGAGGCAGCCCTCAAGACCATGAAGGACAAGGAAACGGCCAAGTTTACAATTGCGCCCGAGCACGCCTTTGGCAGCGAGGGCAGCACAGAACATCAGGTGCCGGCCAACGCAACCCTTGTGGCCGTGATCAAGGTGCACCAGGTGGAGTTTGCCAAGGAGACCTGGGATCTTTCCAGCGAGGAGAAGGTTGCCGCTGCCGAAACCCTGCGAACGGCCGGCAACAACTTTTTCAAGGCAGGCGATTTTGCGCGTGCTCTCCGCCGTTACACCAAGGCCGTCGACCATTTGAAATCGGACCACGACTTTACCGAGGAGCTCAAGGCGGAGGCCAAGCAGAAGCGTGTCGCCTGCTACTCCAACATGGCGCAGTGCGCCCTTAAGACAAAGGAGTTTACCAAGGCTCGTGAGCATGCCGATGCGGCGCTGGAGCTCGACCCTCAAAATGTCAAGGTGAGGCGGCAGTTGGCTGTTAATGTGGCGCCCCGGCCGTGGTTGAAAGTTGAAGGATTATGTGTGCTGCTTGATCAGTGGGTAATTCTAACGCGTTTTGTCCTTGGTAGGCGTTGTATCGTCGGGCCATGGCTCTGCATGAGATGTCCGAGTGGGATCAGGCTGCGGCGGATTGCCAACAAATCCAGACTTTGGACAAGGACAATACTAGCGCAGCCGCCCTCTTGAAGAAGGTTAAGGCCAAGCAGCATGCCTACAATCAGAAGCAGAAGGCCTTGTTCAAGGGACTCTTCAAGTAAAATGTTGATCCTACAATGGTCGGATTGAGTTGATGAATCGAACAAAACCAACCTATGACTATGTATCGGCTCTCTGGGCAAGCAATCGACGAGAAGCAGGATTGGGTATAAAAAGAAAAGAATCGAGAAGGCTACCGAGCTTGTCGAGTTGTAATCCCATTTCCACTGTCTTGAAGCGCCAAGACGTCGCCCAAGTCCGGACCAGCAGTTGGCTGCAGCGCACCTGGAAGCGCCTGCTTCGTCCACTCCCTTGAAACCTTGAAAGGTTCAACTCGCTCTCTCAAGTTGTATACGTAAAACATAGCATTCTTGCTGAATTTTATAAGGCCACAACGTTACTTAATGCAGATAAATGGCATGTTTGTGTCGGTACGGTAGGATGACTTGTCATACGAACATGACAAAGTGTGTGTGTGTGTGTGTGTGTGTGTGTGTGTGTGTGTGTCACTCCTCCTCCTCCTCCTCCTCCCTTTCCGTGACGCCTTGTGGTGGTGCTTGTCATGCACTTTGCAACGCCACCCGCGCTCGACTCTGGGGAGGTGCTGCTCGTGCTGTTGGGTGGCGAGAGTAGACCAACGAGACGCCCTCGGGATGAAAGCACCTGCCATTCGCCTGACACGGGTGGCCGCCACCGCTCGGTATGGTGCGAAGTACCAGTTGCCGCCGCTGGTGTTGCTGCTGCTGCTGCTCGTGACACAGCTGCCGAACGCCGTGGCAGTCTGTTCCACGCGTGTTTGTCCTGCGGGTACGTTGGCGGGAAACGGCCCAACCTTACTCCGCCAGCGTGTCCCACCGCGCTTATGCCTTTGTGATGACACAGGTTACAGCTGCCTGCAATACGGCAACGGCACCGAGGGCTGTGAGCCATGTACTAGTGGAACCTATTCTGCCGATGTGACTGACACTCTCTGCCTTGCTTGTCGCAATGCCTGCGACCCGGCCTCTGAGTTTGAAGTTGTCCCTTGCACTCGAACGACCAACCGGATGTGCAGCAGTACGTGGTGACCTTCATGCAAAGAACGATGATCCGTCCTCATGCTATGAGGCGCGTGGGGGAGGGGGAAGACTCTGTCCCTTTTCTTTGGAAGGCTCTGTCCCTTTCCTTTTTTGTTTGTCCGAGAGAGCGGCGCGGCACGGCGCGGAGAGGGTCGAGGCAAAGGGTCTCACCATCTGGTTGCTGTTGTTTTTCCATTTTTTTTTCAAAGCCTGCACCGTATGCGGCACCCAGGAATGGATGGCTGCTGATTGCACCGAGACTACAGACCGCGACTGCCGCGCTTGCACTCAGCCTACAGATTGCCCCGTGGGCCAGGTTAGTGCTGTAAACGTTGAAGCACGCGCCGAGCTGGCCCTAATTCCACCGTCTCACCAGCAGCCATCTGGGTAGGAGCTCTTTCTTGCCTGTCAACCTGCGGCCGATGCGTCTTGTGAGACCTGCACCGGCGGCCTGTATCGAAGCGAGACCCATGCACCCAGCTGTATGCCGTACGTCGACTTTTGAAAAAAAAAAAAAAACCGTTGCCCCGTTCTCTGAACCCTACGTATACGTTATACTTTGAGTTCCTGTCTCCCTCATCTTGGTGGTACGCATGCTGGAACACAATTCGCCTCAAACAGCTGCACCAGCTGTAACCCTACTCAAGAGTATCAAACTCAGGCTTGCACCGCATCGACCAATCGTGAATGTGCAGACCTTACTCCATGTACTAACACAGAATACTTGGTAGGTGGCTCACATACAGGCATCCCCCTGTGAAGCATCATGCACTAACCTTACCACGTGTCCCCTGGTCGCTCCAGGCTGCTGCTGCAAGCGCCACCTCCGACCAAGTGTGCGCCAAGTGCACTTCACAATGCCCGACGCATGCCTACCTAAGTGGTCTGTTGTCCAACACTGACATAGTTTGCTCGTTTGTGTTTATCGTTCACCCAGCGCAACATTTGCCTGGGGCCCGCGCCCGCGCTCACCTTCTTCTCGCCCCATCCGGTGCAGCCAATTGCTCGACGACCGCTGATGCAGCGTGCTCCAACTGCACGCAGGCTGCTGATTGCATCCTCAATGCTACCTATCTCACCGGCACTTGTGGCTTAAACACAAACCCGACATGCCAACCCTGCTCCTCAACTTGCCCTGAAGAGCACTACATCAGCTGTACGTGCGCCATTCCTTTCTCTGCGCGCTGCTTAGGCGAGCCGTGCCCACACTGACATTTTGAATCACCACAGCCCCTTGCACATTGACCAGCGACGCTGTCTGCTCGGCTTGTATCAACGCTACAAGTTGTGAAGCCATGGGATTGGTGCTGGTGGGACAATGTTCTGCTTGGGAAGGTGGCACGCGGTGGGTCACATGTCTGCTCGCTATCCGCTCCCGGCTTCGCGCTTGAATCGCTCCTGTTAGCCCGAGGATTCATTCAGCTCACGTACGGACGAACGCACTTTGTTATTATCCTTGCACTCTGACACTAGTTGTGAGGAGCCACCAGCCCCTGTGCTTCTGAAGGCCCCGGCTCTGGCCATGCCGGTTTCCTTTGTGCACGGCATGCAGTATGCCCAGGATCTGGTTAATGGTCGCCATGTGGCTGCAGCCCTTGCGCCATGGTGGCAGGAGCAGCCTCAGTGGCAACTTCCTCTGTTGGATGCAAATTCTAGACTTGATCGGTGTGCCGATCCCCCAGGTATCCGCCTATATCTTACTCTCAGGCGGTCCGCTGCCAGGCCACTGGTCTTAACGCGTATAATCTCATTTGTGATTGGTGGGCCATGGGCAGAGACGATCAATTGTGCTGCCGCAGCCACAAGCCACGCAGGCGCTTTTTATCAAGACTGCGTGCCAATCTACAACAGTTCTTCCTCTGCACCGCCGCGCATTTGTTCAACCTCCAACTTGACAGGCCAAAATCTGACTTCATCTTTGACCAACGTGACCTACCAAGGTCTGTCCCGCGTTCATGGCAAGGCTGTGGATGCGCATCGCCTCAATTGCCATGGTCTTTGTACTGGTGTCGTGGTTTAGTGGAGAACATTCGCATTCATCTGCGGATCCTGGGCACGGACGGATCAACGTGTCGCGTCTTGCGCGACGCTCAAGTGCAACTCTGGCAAGCCGATGCGCTGGGCCAATACAACAGTCCTTGCACGTCTCAGGATGCCCGGGCTGTGAGTACTATCTTTTGAAACCTTGATGTTGTTTTTGAAGATCCTGACTCTGTCGTGCTTGTCTTGCCACGCAGATGGCAGCGGATGGTCTGGCCAGCACAACGCCTTGCAACAGTCAAGCGTGCCGCAGCCCTTACGAAATTACAAACGCGAGTGGATTTGTTTCCTTTGACACGGAAACCCCAGGTTTGTGCCCAGCCCTCCACCCGGACAGTCAGGCCACCGCTCTGCTTGCGTGCTGGAAGGGTATCTCTGCGCGATGCTCATGACCAGATCTCGTGGTTGCTCCTCTAGGCTATGCTGATGGCCCTTTGCATCTGCACGGGCGGGTCGAGCATGCGGGTTATCTGACCTTCTTCCCAATCTTGTTTTTTTCACACGATCCTGCTCTGAACTGGACGCTCAGTCATTGTCGCTGGGTAGCCAGTGAAGGTGGACTGCGTTGCAGCGACAACTTGCAAACAGAGCCTGCAGTTGATCCCTTCACCAACCCGCCCCCCAATCTTTTGCAGGTGGGCAGCTGCCTTTGAACAGTATCTACTGTAATCCTTGTCGACGTCCCAGCCTCTCTCGGTCTCGGGATTAGCCATGGCCTAGTAACTTCTCACATCAAAACTGGCTCGCAGGTGTATCGGGGCCACGGCGGGGACTTGCTGGCGCTGGGAACTATCGTCTTGTGTGACACGGTACGTCTCAGGGCCCAGGGCTCACCCCTACAGCAGCGAGAGGCTCTGTGGACAATTCATGACTGGTGTCTGGAATACACAGGGGTATGCAGACTGTCCTTATCCTCTTCACGAGCCATTGCCAGCCACCTTGGAATGCAATTTTGTTTGGAACGGCACCTGCGGCACCAGTACGTTTTGGTATCAATTTGTGTGACAGGTTAAAGGCATTGACGCTTCTTATTTACTGGCCGTGCGCTGCACGCTCATACGTTTGGATTACATTAGGTGAGAACGCCAACAGCACACACCATGCTGGGTTTGCCGACCCCGATCGAGACCAATACTGTCCTCAGCTGGCCTCAAAGTTCACGACGACACCAGGCCCGTTCAGCACCACCCTGCTCGCCACCGAAGCGTCAGTGGGTGCCCAGGGTTTGGGTGAGTACATCAGCTTGAACGCGCGCAGGACAACGGCAAAAGCGTGTGAGCCGCGGGCAGGTCTCACAACTTGATCTGGAATGTGGTATCCCCCCGGTCCCTCCCTAACGTTGGCGGTAGATGATGGCGACACCGTCGTCTTGGCCAGTGCACTCTTGACCATTGCACTTATTGTGGCCATGCTATTGCTTTTGCGTCTCAATTGGCGCGTGACAAAAAAGGCATCGCGCCGCACAACCCAGATTGAAGCTTCATTACACGTGAGTGCCTTTTCTGTTGTTTGGTGGATGGGAAAGTCCTTTGGGTAAACACCCCTGCACCTTGACTATGCGCGTTGTCTTGCCTGTGGTAGTACTCTGAATCTCTGAACGCAACCGAGTCGGAACCGCCCCTGACCCGTGGTCGATCGACGCGAATTCCGAGCCGACGGTCCATTGGGGCTTTGGCAGCATACACGTTGGGACCAGACTCGGACACCGAGTCGGACGGAGCAAGCGAGAGCACTGCCCCTCGGCCCAAAATTTCCGACCCCATCCCTTCTGCACCCGGTGTGTCTTTCTGTCTGCTCGCACAACAATTATGCCAATGTTTGTACAGCATGACCGTACGTCGGGCAAGTGTAGCTTACACCCCTCATTTCCCACGATGCATGCAGCCATTGAATCCTTGCCGGCCTCGCTAAAGCAAAGCGCATGGTGGACGCAGCGAGATTTGGCGCGCTTGGTCAAGGATCTCAAGGCGGTGGAGACGCAGTTTCGCGAAGTGCCGGTTGGTTGTGTCATGGGTGTATATGCGAAGGCATGATAATGCACCGAGGTGCCTCAGCTATGCTTTACCAACTGCGTTGCAGGTGAACAGCCTCAAGCCAGAGGAAGCGTTGCGCTTCTCCGAGGACATGAATCGCTATATAAACATTTTGCCAAGTATGTCGTTGGAGCTAACCTACCTTTTTGTCTGGACCAATTCAGAGTCGCGAAGTGTGCTCAACCTTGGGTTCTGTTTTCGCAGATCACCACTCGCGTGTCACATTGACGCCTATCCCAGGTCACGAACAATCAGCGTAAGCCTTTTCCCATCCTCATGCTCAGTTGCAGCCCAAGCACGCTTCAAGCTCTCCTCACGTTGCACCCATCACCTGCTAGTTACATCAATGGAAATTGGATGGATGGCTTCTCCCAGTCGCGCGAGTACATTGTTACGCAGGTTCGTGTTGTTATTGCCCATGGGTGTGCGCACAAGTGTGCATTCCCGAGTCCAAGGCTTCACGGCTCTGGTGGTTGGCAATGACAGGGACCTTTGCCCAACACGATCGATGCGTTTTGGCGGATGGTGTGGGAGTTTAAGGTCTGCCAGATTGTCATGATTACCAATCTCAAAGAGAAGGGACGCGTCAAGTGCGAAAAGTACTGGTAAGTCAGGTCGCAGCCAAGGGGGTGGGGCGAGTAGCGGTCGGAGCCTAAAGTAGAACGTGGAGCTCATCCCAGACCACCACGACAGGCCATTTGAAGGTGAACAACTCAAAATTGGAGATTTGATACTGCTGTGCGAGGAGGTGAAATTGCATGCCGCATTCCAGGTGGCGCAACTCCGCGTCGTGCATCGTCACACGGGGGTGGCGCACACGGTGCATCATCTCTGGTTTCAGGACTGGCCAGACCACGGTTCGACCTTTATTTTTACATCTCCAAGGTACCTAGCCTTATCAATGTCATGAAATTGCCTGACTGTTGGGGTTTTGACTGGCTTTGGTAGGAGTACCGGACACCACCGAGGCGGTGATTGATTTGCTGCTCACGTCACGGGAGCTGCGCACACGGGCTTTGGCGAGCCGGGAGCAGGTCGCGCCTATTGCCGTCCACTGCAGCGCCGGCATTGGGCGCTCCGGTGTATTTGTGGGGTGTGATATTCTGCTCCAGCAGGCCGAGAGCTTTGGTCAGGTTGATGCCTTGGGCGCATTGTGTCACATGCGGCGCGCTCGAGGTGGCTGTGTACAGACGCCCCATCAATGGCTCTATATGTTGTTGGTGGCCCATGACTACTTGGCCAAGGTCAGTTTGCTGATGGGAGGTCGAAGTGGGATGTTTCTAAGGGGAGCTAAGAATGCCTTGATCCCGCCATGGCGGATTCATGCTCGACGCGTCTGTCTCACGTTGGGCATATCATGCCGGTCCGGTGCTTGGCTACACTGTGGCGCGTACAGCTTGGCGAACTTGGCTTGCTGAAAAATAAGAAAAACAAATAAGGTTTGACTGGCTCGTGGTCCATGACTCGGTATGAATAATTGAAATGTGTAGTTCGCGATGGGTCAAGGACTGTGACATCGCGTTGGCGCTGTTGAGTAGGTCGGGAGTGCGCATGCGACGCGATGCGCTCATCAGATCATTCGTGTCAGTAAATTAACATGTCAAGAGCCAGTTGGGTGGAAAGGGTGGGATGTGAGTCGCTGCAACTCGGCGCAGTAGGACGCATGGGTATTGTCAACTCAGGTGATCGGAGAGCAATCGGTTCATCTCGAACATGTCAATCTTGTTCTGCGCATGGCACGGCCAGTGTTGTGTGAGCTCCAAGCCGAGTGATGCAGATGAAGCCAGGGGGCATGTCAAGGAGAAGCGTCGGCAAGAATCGAACGAGATAAATAAAAAAAAAAAGCACAGAAAAGAAAAGAAACATGAAATCATGTCCAACAAGCCGAAAGACGCGGATGGGTGCGATACCTTTTTGAAAACGGCACGGAGTGCTTCGTCGCAGAGAATCTCACGCTTTTTGTCGGGGTTTTGAAGATTGTGGCCACGAATATAGGTCCACAGCTTGGACACGACCTATGGTGCCCAACGAGTGACCATCAAGAGGATGAAACCCGAAAGGATGCCAAGCTCACAAGCTGATGGAGAGCATCGCAGCAGGTACCTGTGGTCGAGTCTCTTCAGCGCAGCCCACCACGACGGCCAAGACACTGGAAAGTTGCTTGAGGCGACCATCCTTTTTGGGAGCCTTTTTGGTGGTTTTTTTCTGCTCGGTGGCAGATTTTGACGAATTAGACGCGACTGTTTTGGCGCGTTTCTTGGACGGTACGGCAGGCTTGTCGTGCTGCGTGGGATGGCATGGAGATGATCAGAGTGAGGGAAGTGAGGGACAGGAGAGAACAGCAAGATTTCAGCGCACTTTGATGCGCAAGGCAAAGGTTTACAGCGCTGGCAGGCGGGAGGCAATGCAGGACTCACCTCATCGTCGTCGTCGTCGTCCGAGTCGTGGACCATTTGCCGAACGGCAAGGGGCTCTGGCTTATAGTATTTTTTCATGTTTGCAGAGAGAGCCTTTTGCAGGCTCTTGAAGGTCAGCGTCTTTCGACCCAAGGCTGAACTAAGATTCTCATCTAAGCTGTACGTGCCCTGTCGAGGGTGCGCACATCAATCGATAGGGGGAGGGTGGGCGAAAGTAGGCCCAGAGAGCAGCCAGAGCACGAATGAGGCGCGACCCTTCTCCATTGCCAAGTACGCCGTATGGAATCCGGTAAAGCGGGCGCAGATGCGCGTGGCCGCCGCACGCACCTTGGTGGCTGGCAATTCCTTCTCCTTGACGTACGCCCAGATTTGACGCGTCACCTAAACTCGGGGAGGGAGGGCGTTGAGCATGCCAGTGAGCGCACGACTAGAGATGGAGCCAAGAATTAGGCAGAAAGGTGGGGTATCCGGGATAATGGCAATGCATACATCAGCGCGAGTTGCGGTAGGTCGACCCATGAATTTTGCCAGGCCCTCCGAGAGTTCGTGCTCATAGTTGTACGCCGTTTTGCCTGGCAGGATTGAGGTCCGGCCAAAGACAATGGGATATTAGATCAAGACAGACATGGTGAAAGGCGTGGATGGGTTGGGGCGAGGTCTTCATGTCAAAATTGGACGTGCGAACCTGCGTTGCGACGATCCAAGTCGGACATTTCGCCAACAGACCAGGCCGAGTTGCCGGTCAGATCGGCGGGGTCAACGGCACTCTTGGTGCGGTTCGAGGCTTGACTGTGACTGGTCGTAGCCTTGGGCTTGGTCTTGCGGGGGGATGCGGAGGCTGATGGACGCTCCGGTACCTACGTGGAAGCGATTGGAAGGGGTCGAGGTGTCTCGTGTGAGGTTCGGAGGAGACGCGTTGTAGCCAAAGCAGATGGAACAGCCCTGCAATGCGCACCGATTTGCGCTTGAGAGGGGCGGGCATGTCATCTTCAAGATCACTGTCCGAGATTTCGTCTGGGTTGACGTATTTACTACCGGTGACGTTGGCGCCCGGCACATAGGCGCGAACGGTGAGATCTAGCTCATGCTCAGGGTCATCGTCGGACAAGGCCTCCTGTTCCAGCTTTGGTTTGGCCGCGGGCAGCTTGTCCTTGCTGGCTGGGCTGGCTTTGGTGGTGGTAGGGGCTGGGAGCGTTGTCGGCTCTGCTTTGATCGGGGCGGCCGATGCAACTGGTGGCTCAGCTCCGGCTGTGGCCTCAGGGGGTAGTTGTTGGATAAAATCCGCCACGACCTGACTGATGAGGTCCTTGCGGGGCTTGAGGTTGATGCCACCCAAGGCAGCCTCGACCTCACGGCGAATGTCCTTGCGACTCGTGGTCTGCAGCGTGCGGCCTGGTTTGCGCAGAGCCTCGAGCACGGCTGCACGAACCACGTCGTCCGAGGGCATCTCCTTCTCCATGGTCGAGCTGTGATCCGCTGGCTGTGCAGAGGACTTTCTACCTATGTCAGCGACTGGAATCAATATGGGCGGTACGCACAGCCACTCGTACAGCAGGAGGGTTGAGGCGAGTGAGGAGGGTAGGAAGTAGAGAGGAAGTCGAGGGAGGTAGAGGGGAAGTAGAGAGGAAGTGGAGAGGGTAGAGAGGAGGTGGCGGTCGAGGGAAGTAGAGAGGAGGTATAGGGGAGGTAGAGGAGGTCGAGGGAAGTAGAGAGGAGGTAGAGGAGGTCGAGGAGGTCGAGGGTAGTAGAGGGGAAGTAGAGGAGGTCGAGGAGGTCGAGGGTAGTAGAGGGGAAGTAGAGGGGAGGTAGAGAGGAGGTGGCGGTCGAGAGGGAGCGCGCTGGCTCAGTGGGCGTTTAGGATGGAAAGAGGTATAAAGTATTTTATTTTGTTTGTTTCAGGCGATGGTGGTGCTCAAGGTGGGTACGGTCACCTAAAATACTTACTGCCCGGACAAAGGATCAAGTATTTTACTAATAAATTTACAGGTTAAGAGACCATCAAACACGGTGTAGAATCGAAAAATACTTTTTTCTCCACCAATGGTCATTAGTATTTTACTTCTGAATTTCAGTACGCGAAGTCAGTGAAAAGTGGTACTTCCGCGGACAGGCAAGCGGACACGTGTCCAACGTGTGTCGCATATCAGTCACCCAATTGCGTGCATGTATGCATTTGGAGGACGTGGGCGCGGACGGAGTATGTCAAGCATCTGCGGGCCGCAAAGTCCTTGGCTCGCCCTTCCTGTCGCCATCGTTTGGAAGTGGGCGGCGAGCTCGTCATATTTGAGCAAAGACACGCGTCCGCTGAAACGTCCATTCCGCCCTACGGTGTGCTGTGCTGAAGTACCACACGGTCCACTGCTCTCGGCGTTTCAGAAAAAAACCACGCTTCCCTTGTCAAAGGGCTGCCTGCTTCACCGCCCGTGACAGGCTGACAGCACCAAGCTCTGCCAGCCACCTTGCTCGAGTCTGTCCCCATTCTCCCAACGCACCCCACCGCCGTCCAGCCCACAGAGTCGAGGCTCGGGAGGGCAATGAGCCCAAGCCGACGGCATTTTCTATCCGAACCAAGCCCGCTCACCCATCCTCACGCGCGCTCGCCCGTGTCGATGACATCAAACTCACACACCTCTCAGCACCCCATGGCGACTGCAATCAGGGGGATCATCTGAAAGACTTTTGTCTCCTCCTTGCCCGCTGCCGCGCCTGCGCATACCACCCTACATACATACATACACTCTTGCCTGTTCTTTGCCGCCCGTCTTGCTTGCTTCTCGCCCTGGCACTTCTCCATCTCCTTCTCGCTCTCACCCTCTCTCGTGTAGTCTCCCCACTTCCCCCATCTCCATTTCTTGTCACACTTTAAACGCGGCCGGCCAGTTTGCCATTTCCTCTTGAGCCACCTCTTTTCCACAAGAGTGCGGCCACCGCCGCCATCGACTCGAGGATTTTAGGTAGCCGGCTGCAGGGCCTGTCCAGGAGGATCCCCACCCCCAACGAGCGTGGCACATCCATTTCGCTGTTGTTGTTGTTGTTGGTGTTGTTGTTTTTGCTGACTTGACTGTGCTTCTGGCTGGCAGCCACGTTGACTCGACTTACCCATTCATTTGGGACTGTTTGCGTCTAAACGCTGCCTTATCCCCCCCCTGTCATTCGACATGGACGCCCAACAGACGGGCCCCACACACGGCACCTTGCCCCCACCCTTGACTGGGCCCCGTGTAACCGAGACGTCACAGCGCCATGCTTGCGATCACGGCTTACCCAGCCCAGACCGACTGCCTCTGCCCATCTCGACGCAGGACGCCCGCTTTGCGCGAAAGGTTGGGACAATGGATATCATAGAAGACTATGGCAGCACCATTCGGACCACTCCGCTGGCCACGCGTAGTCTACAGTCCCTGCCCACGGGTCACTCCAGTTCCACCTGGCACCCCCGTGCAGCCAGTGCCAGCCTACATAGCCATTCTCAGCAACAGCATCACTCACCTCCAACCACAGCAAGCGCTTACAGTGAGCCCACGTTCCTCAAACTCTCGCCACTCATGCCCCTGGGCACCTCGGCACCTCCCTTCATCTCTGGGAGCAGCGACACTGCATCGTCGGGAAGCTCTCGTCACATCATGCGTCGTAGCTCCTCCGCGTCTTTGGGTGGCCTCAATGGTCTTATGGGCGGCCTGGCCGTCACTCATCACAGCGAGAGCACCGGTGATCTACGCGCCCCTTCCCCCACCAATCCCATGCGTCTTCAGCGCGCAGCCAGCGGCACCATCTCTGCTCCGGCTCGCCGCACCAGCTGGGTGCGCCAAGCTGGCGCCTCCCCCGACTGCCTGGAAGAGCTCTTCGCCGCGGCCAGTCACAACAAACCGGCCCCTCCCCACAGCACAGGGTCCACATCCCCTCAGGCCGCTCGCAATTTAACGCGCCACGCCTCTCTTCTGAACATGTCCCGTCCCTCCCTCTACTCCCCTCTCATGCAGCCACGCAGCACCGAGGACCTCTACGGCGGCAACACCGGCGCGCGCAACCTCGATCTGCTCAGTGGCTCCACGGGGCCCGCCCCGCCTTTGCATGCCCGAGGCAAGCGACGCAGCTCACTATCCCTATCCGGTGCCCTCGGCGTTGCCCAGGCCAACGGGTACGGAAGCGAGCAGTTTGCCTCTAATCATAGCACCCCTCACCCCGACGGCTACAGCACCTTTGGCGCTGCTTTTGAGCTTCCCAATCTGGACAATTTTACATACGACCAAAGCAGCAGCATTGGAGCCGGGGCGGCGGGGTCCACCTCTGGAGCTAGCACACACAGCCCCCGCCGCCAACAGTCATCATCCAGCATGAACATGAGCCCCGTGCAGCCCCGCATGCAAGATCCCCATTCAGTTTCTCCACCACCCGCCCACGTGGCTGTAGCGCCCTCCATGATTTCGCCCTTTGACCAGCCACCCTCGCCCCCTTCAGCCGCGTCCAGCACCCTGGGCTCTCGCCGTGGTTCCCTCGTAACCATGGCCGTTCCTCGCCGCCGTGCATCGTTGGACAGCGTCCCGGAATTTGGCTATGGGGCGCCCTCGCCCCCAGATAACATGGGTGACATCCTGGAAATTGCTGAAGAACTCGAGGTACGTCAGGAACGCAAGACTCAATGTGTCTTTGATAATGTTGTTCTGCATCAGATCCGCCTGTCTCATCTCTTGTGCATGATTCGCTGCTACGCTGTGGGCTTGGATATCTTTCTTTACAGGGGCGAACGAGCCAGCGCAAGCGCCACCGGCCCAGCCAAGACTTGACAGAGCTGATGGCTCACGCCAACCTGCAGTCGACACTGAATGAATTGGCCGACGACGGCGCCGCCATGAGTCTGCTTGAAGCGCACGCCCAGGACCTGGATGCGTGCTTGGCCGCCAACCTGCCTGACTCGCAGCCTGCACCAGATTACCTTCTGACACGCACCCACAGCGTGACCATGGACGCCGCGCTGTCCGGACATCCTATGGCAGCCAGTCAGCATCATTCACAGCACCAACATCCAACTCAAACCGATCACAAGGGCTATGACCCACTTTTTGCGTTTGGCGACATGGACGACTTTTTGGACATGATCGATACGCACGTCTAGAGGCTACCTCATCTCCCCTTTGTCTAATTTGTTGTGCGCACAGCGTGCGTAGCGAAATGTTATCGCGTGATTGTTAGCGTGAACGATTTGGAGCATCAGTGCCTGGCAACCCATCCCGGGTCGCTCGTGTGGCCGGGGCACGTGCAAGCGTCGTCCTGTTTTCGCTGCCTTTTTGTTGTGTTGTTAATTTTACTCTTCTACGGCGGCGGACAACCCGCCTCCATCGCCCATTTGATTTGCCACTTAACATGGAAATTGATCTTGACAGTGTGTCGCCTTTTTCATTGTTGGATCTGTGGGTTCGGAAACCGGAATTTGGTCTTGACTGTGGTTGGATGGATTTCTTCCGCAAGGAAATCTGGCATTGACATGACAGGGCGTCTTCCCAATTATCACGACAACGGAGTAAATAAGACCCCTCGCAAAAGAAAGAAAGAAAAAACGACAAACGACCCACAACAAGAGCGCCCAGCGCTTATGGGAACACAAGAAAGGCCCATGCCATTGTTCAAGAGCCATACGGGAGCTTCAGAGAGGACACCTCATGAACAAAGGAAACTAGATTCGAGTCATCTAGCAACCACATCGAATCAGTCTGCTTTAACGGGCACCACGAAGAGTGGTGCGAAGAGCATGACTGGCTTCGACCACGGTGGGTTGTGCCCGAGCCACGCGCGAGTCTCCAACTGGCACGTTCCTAGAACAAGGGATGCAGCATCACCAAGCTTGTCAGTGTTGGTTCGGGAACGGCAGGGCGGTTGTGGCTATGCAGCGATGCCATAGAATATAACATGTAAAAAAAAAAAAAAAAAAAAAAGATCCTGGTACGTACATAGGCGCATTGGTGCGGCCATTGACAATGAGCAACGTGTTGTCCTGGGCCAAAACCTCCTCGCTGACAGAGATACCATCCAGATACTGCTTGAGAATGTTACGCAGCTCCGTGTTTTCTTCCTCAAGCAGGGCGCGCTCGCGCTCGACTGCCAGTTTGTCGAGAAGAACTTTGTTGTACCGCTTCCAAAAGTTGGACAAGGCCTCGTAGGTATGGATGCGGCGATTTCTGCGGTCGTAGGCGACTGCGTGCAATTGCGTGGGTCCGGGCAGCTCGGCCCGTGCTTGGCGGGCCAGTGCTTCATCATCCATGGTCGCTGAAGCCTGTGGGAGCCCGCTCTCACCAGAAGCAGCGGTGGGTTCCGCTGCCATGTCTGTAGAATGGTGGGGCGCTGCCGCAGCTTCGGCCTCTTCTGTTTCGCCCCCTGCCTGCTCCTGTTCTCCTTCCGAAGCAAGGGCTTCCTTTTGGGCCTGCAGCTGTTCGACTTCTTCCTCAAACTCTTCAACTGCGGCTGCTGCCATCTGAGCTGCTTCAGCAGCAATGTCAGCGTGTTCACCCTGACCGGCAACAATGGTAGCTGCATCCGCCTGCGTTGTCTCCGCGGCTTCATTCTGCAAGCGCTCGACTTCATCATCTGTGATTGTGTCTGCATAAAACGGCAAAACCTGGCATGCCGAAGCGGGTGAGGATTGGCCCGCTAGCGTTCGAATCAAGAAAAGTCATCATGGCAGACCAAAAGGCATGCTGAGCTCCGGCAAATGACGAACCTTTTCTTCATCTGATTCAAGTTTGCGGCAAACTTCGGCCAAAGACAAGACTTTGCGAGCTGCCTCAAGTTTGGCCTGCAACTTTTGCTCACACTCCTTGGCTTGCACTGCAATGGTCGCCAGCGCCCGGCGGTCCCGTTCGCGGGTGCGCTTGAGGCGAGCCTTGAGAGCATGTGCCTGCTCAGTAATGGCCGCCTTTTCCTTGGTGAGCTCCCTGCGGTGAAGAGAAAGAAACGGAGACAAGGTGAGGCGGGTTTTGGCAGAAAGCAAAGAAGCGGCTGCGATACGCCATCGTACGTGTTTCGATCATCGGTACCAGACGAAAGAGACGCGAGGCGCTGCTTCAAGGCTGCAATTTTCTCGCGCAAGTTGGCCAACTTTTTCATCTGGCTTTCAATAGTGGCGGCCGCCTAAACAGGTCAAGGAGCACCGGGCAAGCCGAACAACCTTGGGATGAGATATTCACGTTCAGCTGGGCGGAACCTTGGCGGGAGGCAAGCCTGATACCTTTGAGTCCTCGGCTCGCAAGCGTTCAAACTCTGCCCGCTTCTCCGCTGTTGAGGTCTCGTAATGCTGAAGAGCAGCTTGGAACTCATCCCACAGCTCCTTGATTTGGCCTTCGAGATTGGCTTTGAGAGAAGTCTTTTGGTCTAGGCTGTTTGAGCGCAGCTCGTCTCGACGGCTGGCAAATTCAGATTCCTCTGCGTGAACCTTGTCGTCGTTGCTAATGTCCATGGCATACACAATGTCCTTCAACTTGGCCATGTCTTGCTGGTGCAAGCCCAAAATGTGCTATCAGGTTGGGGTCAAGCCGGGTGGGTGAGGACACGACCAAGGCCTTCAAAAAGACAGAAGTGAATCGAAGGTTTGCAGGTAGACGATGCAGGGGCCTACACAAACCTTGCGCTCTTGCATGAATTCGCGGCGAAGGGCCTCAAGGTCACGGGTAAAGTCGCCGTGAAGATGATCGACTGTTTCACGATGAAACTCCACAACGCGGTCCAGCGTCTTCATGTGCGAGCGGGTAGCGATTTGCTCCTGTATTGGAAAAAGACGGGGCAAGGATTAGCTTGGATGACCAGCGATGCACGGTCCCGTTGGGCAGAAGGAGGGGAGGGCACAAGGAGCAGGCGCGCCTGTTTCTCGGCTTCATTAAGCTCCTGAATGCAGGCTTGCAAGACCGCTTCCTTGCGATCAAGCACCCGTTCAAAGGTCTGTGCCAGAATCTCAATCTCCCGCTTAAGCTCATCGCTCTTGGCTGTGAGTAACATCAATCAGTAAGAATGTGGGCGCGGTTGTGGCACACAGCATGACACGGTATCGAGTCCAGCCCCTGCCGGCTCAAGCGCGATCCTCGACAATGTCAGGCGTACCATCGCGCATGATGGCCATCCATTGGGCGTTGATTTTGTGCAAAGCAGCCCGGGTGTACTTTTCTTCGCGAGCTAGCTTTTCCTACACACCCAAATACGGAGAGTAAGACGAGGAAGGCGGCCGCACAAGCACCGGGGGCGACCGACGAGTGGCGCGGAACAGCGGCGTGTGGAGTTGATGTGAGACTCGTGTGCCCGCTGCGTCGCTCGACATGAAATCATGAGGGCTTGACGCACCAGAAGCAGCTTCTGAGCAGTTTCGGCTCGTCGCTTGTCGAGTTCCATTTGTGCATGTCGCTCCTGATCCTGAAGCGCCTGCTTCTCCGCATCGGAGAACCCTGCCGCCGCCATTTCGGCAGTCGGCGGTCGTCGTGTGTGGATGTGTGTGTGTGTGTGTGCTGAAGTGTCGGTAACCAAGACCCTTTGTTTACAACAGCTGTTGAAAGCAACTGTGTGATTCAGGTACACTCAATTGCTGTTTTTGACACTTGTTGCGGCACACGCGTTCAATCACTGCTACCGTAAATTGATATGTCTCTGCAATAACTCTTCATTTCTTCATGCCATTAGCATAGCAGTTCGACGATAAGTGCTATTTTTTCGTGTAAAAGTCTCGTCACCCCAAGCACACAACACACACACACACACACACACACACACACACACACTAATTTGTCAGACGATTTGTGACCAAGTGACCGCGTGCTCGCTCTCTCTCTCTCTCTCTCTCTCTCTCGCTCTCTCGTGTTTTTCTGTCGTCGCGCTGCTCGGGGTTCGCTGCTCGGGGGTCGCGTTGTCGTGTTGTCGCCTGGTGCTGGGTGCCTGTTTTTGGATTGTGTGTGAGGCGAGAGCGGGGAGGGGGTTGTCAGGGCTCTGTGTGGCATTTTCCTGCGGGTGGTTGGACGTGAGGAAGCACACGCGCGTGGGCGAGGACCAACGAATTAACTTGGCAAGATGGCTGATGAGTGGGACTCGGATGATGATTATGCGAGCGGCGGTGAGGATGTGCTGCCAGAGCTGACGGATGAAGAGGTACGTTCGTGTCTCCATGCACGTGTCTTTGCAGGCTTTGTGTGTAGACCTCTAACTGTTCGCCGTACACGCTCACGGAACCCTGTTTTGTAGCTCTTGCAACGCTTCAAGCAGGGTCATCTGAAGGGGTCTGTGCGCATGCAAAACCTTGTGGCACAGGCAGCGCAGCGTCGCATTGTTCCCGCCAACCGCACGGATGCGCTGACTTCCAAGCGCCATGCTATCGAGGTCCGACTGAATCGTTTCTGATTGTGCTTCTTTTTCTATTTTCTTCTTCTTCTTTAAATAAAAAATCTCCGAGTCGCCGCCTCTTTGCCCTATTTTCACGCGTGGCTCACCACTCCAACATCTTGCTTATCACCTGTGTATTGGGCATGTGCAGCTTTTGCCAACTCTGCCCTGGCCAGAAACTTTTGTTCTGGAGCAACCAGCCCTTGATCCGGCCCTCGACCCCAACGACGACTTTAAGCGCGAGGATGCCTTGTACGTTTCACTTCATCTCTTTATTCGCCGTGTGTACCTTCTCTTCTTCAGTGACCAATCCTCTCATATCGTTTTTTTTTTTTTTTTTTGCCATGGCCCGACTCGACATTTAGTTACATGCAAGCCTTTCGTGCCGCGGAAGAGGCTGAGAAGCTTTTGAAAAAGCACGGCATTGCTAAAACTCGCCCCGCTGATTACTTTGCAGAAACTGCAAAGTCCGATGGTACGCCCGCTGTACTCTTGCTCGTTCACTTTGCAAAAACACGAGAGAGCTGGGAAGAACAGCACAGTCGCACTAAAACGGCTTGCAAAAGAGCTCCCATGGTGGTGGGACATGTCTCGCTCATCGGCATGACGCGCTCACCGACGTCGTCGTTAGATCACATGGAGCGTGTGCGTCAGAAGCTGCTCAATGATCAAGCATCTGCCGAGGCCTCGGAGCGCGCCAAGAAGCAGCGCGAGATCAAAAAATACGGCAAGCAGGTCCAAAAAGAAGTTTTGGCCAAGCGCCAAGCCGAGAAGAAGGCCGCCATCGAGTCGGTCAAGCGCCGTCGCAAAGGTGGGCGCTTTTGCCCACGCACGTCCAAGCGGTTCAACTCAACAACGCCAAGCTCATCACACCAATTACTCTTGCATTTACTTTTTCTTGCATCGACTCGCAGGCGTGCAGCAGCAATTGCGTGCTACCGATGATGCCTTGGACTTTGATGTTGATACCTTCCATACGGAACGAGATGATCAACAACCACACCAAAAGTCCGCAAAGCGTGCCAAAAAGGTCGGCATCAACGTGCTCTCTTGGACTGGCCTTCCATGCTTTTGATGTCTCACTGTGCTTTGATCGTGGTGCCTTGACTTTAGGATGCCAAGTTTGGCTTTGGTGGCAAAAAGCGTATGGCTCGCAAGAACACGGCCGAATCCGCTGCCAGTGGCAAGGGTTTCAGCCAGCGGGCCAACAAGAAACCTTTTGCCGGCACACCTGGTGCACGCCCTGGAACTCGCAAACCTGCCAAGCGCCCCGGCAAGGCGGCTCGCCAAAAATCCAAGGGCCGCTCCTAAGTGGAGCCCCACTTTTTGTCGTCCCATTCTCATGCCCTTGATGAAACCCGCTTCTGTTTCATTCCGGTCCTTTGTGCCATGTTTGTCGTCACGAGTTGCTCTTGATTGGTTGTTTGTCTGATTCTGTTTTTCGGAAAACATCAACTTTCTTGCCGATCTGATTGTCGGAAGTCTGATTTTAGTGTACGTCTTCAATGCAGGCCACAACGCCTGCCCCATTTTCTCTTCTTTCTTTCTTTTTTTTTTTTTTTCTTGTTGCTCTTTTCTTTGCCCTTCCCACGCTATTCTTTTTGTCCCCTTTTTTTTCTTGCACACACCCGACAGGATTGCAATGTCAATTTTGTGCTTTGCCCGCTTTGTCTCATGAGGCCAAGTTTATTCAAGCCTTGAGTCCAAGGCAGGGCAATCCCACAAGTGTCATGCATAGATCCAGCACTGGCGTTGGCTCCTCCTGGACCGAGTTGGTCTCTGGCACCCCGTCGGTTTCAGTTGCAGCGGCAGCCGCCGCCGCTGCGTGCTGTGTCTCGAGAAATGTTTTAACGGGTTCATTGGCTCGTGCTGCGCAGAGCGCCACGTCCAATGTGACCTGACGACTGCCCTCGAGCAAAGCCTCGCCCCTGCCATGGAAACGCAACAAAATGTGTAAGCATTTGCGGCTGAACATGCAATGCCGCACAGCAGCCCCTGCTCGTTGAGTTTGCATTCAACCAGAACAACAATTGATGGCAAAGGCACCACCACTTCTGCCTCTCTTAGCCCGTGAGTCCCAAACGTACTGTGCACAAAGCTGCTCCGGAATGGCGGGCGCCAGTGGCAGAACCACGGCAGCGTTGGGCAACGCTGACAAAAGCAATGCTCTAGTCATGGCGGCCGTGGGGGAGGCGAGGCGAATCACCTCGCTACGCGGTCGTGGTAGGGAGGGCTGCGGCTCACAAAAGGCCTGCTCAGATGGGCCACAAGTTTTGGGACGCACAAAGGAACCAATTCATGAGGATATGGCAGCGGGGACAAAAGTTGTCATGGCATATTGAAAGTTGACATCAAGTTGACGTGCGTACCGTATGCAGAGCGATGTACAGGGTAGCGCTTGGCAACGTAGCCACGTCATTCTGTCGCTCATGGCTACATGGACCGAGCTCCATGACCAAGCCACGTTTTAGCTGGGCAGACTGCATCAGCACTGTCATGTCAAATCCGGGCCCCAAGGGCGGTGAGACACATCCTCAGCCGTCAAAACGCGGAAGAAAGCAGAGCCGAAACACAAACCTGTACGATCATGTGCGCCGCAAGACGTGTTGATAGTACCCCAACCTTTGGTGCCCATGACCTTTTGAAAGCGGGCACCAACTTGGTCCAGCCCGAACGGCGAGGGCCTGGCGCATGGTAAACCCTCGTTGCTATCTGTTGAGACCAAAAGCAGCGGATCTGTTGGTTCTATCGAAATCGACTCCTTCTCCATAGCCGGCGGTTTTTTGCTGTCTTTGCTGCTCTTGGTCGTCTGAGAGTACAAACATTTACGGTAAGCGGGTGCTTGATTGAGACCGACAAAACCAATTTCAATACCCCTGCCATCTGCCATCTGCCTGAATCATTTCACCAAGTACACCCTGCAAATGCCAAACTCACCTTCTTGTCTGTTGTGGGATCCAAGGGACGAAGCAGACCATAGCGGCTCGCTGCCAGCACGAGACTAAAGTCAAACGCGATTCGTGTCCGACCCTGTGCATATCAAGGCCGCACGAGTCATACGAGTTTGAATGAGAGCAAAGACAGCGCGAGGGCACGAGGGTACGCGGGCGATGGCTCAATGTACACACACGCGCCCGCACACCACACCACACCACACCACAGAGCGCAACACAGCACGTACCATTACATGCGACGAAGCCCACACCGCACACATGGTGTTGAGCTCAGGGTTGGCGCACACCATGACCGTGCCCCGTTCGGCAGCATCGTGAACAACGGCAAAAACAGGCTGCAAGCATGCCTGTCGAGCTGCCTGAGCCTTGCGCACTGCGTCTTCGATGGCGGCAGAGTCCACGTTTGCAGCATGTGGCTCGTTGGCCATGTTGGCCATTTGCATGGCTTCGTGTTGCAAATCCAGCGCTCGCGACAAACTTGCGGGTTCCATGGGAACGGACAACCACGCCTCACAAGCGCCGTGACGCACTGCCACAGCGTGAACAACATCTAAATGACAAGCGTACATACGCAGTCGATTGAGGCCAAATATTGCCCCAACCAAAAACTTGCTGACGAGGTCCGAGGCTCTTTGGTTAACGCACCGACGCTACTAAGTAGAATGACTGCCGCCATGGTCGTGGGGGCGTAGAGTTCAGTGCAGACTTCAGTCAAATGTTCCATGGGCAAGAAACGTTCGGCTGCACGCGAATTAGCCTTGAGCACGGTTGTCGCCCTCTGGCGCACATAGTGCCAAGCAGGCTGAAGCTCGTGTTGCGATCTCATCCACAAGCTCCAGGCAACCCGCTCTGCAGTTCCCACGCGCAAACGCTCCCGCCACGCCACCTGCCCGAGGCAAAGTGTATCCAATGCCTGCCCCGGTTTACCCGGCCGTGATAGATGCATTGAATAAGAACACGGGCGAATACTCGCCCATAGCGTGAGAGACGACGCAACCCGCACATACCTGAGCTGTGCAAAGCTGTCCCGCTGCGCGACGTCGATCAAACACCCGCTGGCTCTCTGCCACCGCGAGTACTATGCGTGCAGTCTACAACCCACGAACCAGGTCCAAGGCTGAAACAGTCAGCACACACACACACACACACACACACACACACACACACACACCGCTGCGCAAGTTTGCTACACATCGAGGGACCCACCTCTGGCTCGATGGGCAAACAGTCAAGATGATCAAGGGCGCGCTGAAGACAGGTGGCAGCCTGATCACACGTATCTTGGAGTGCACGGGTACTGGCATCATCTGCCAAAGAGCGAGCTTCAAGATCCAGTACATCAGCGTTGTGGTCCAATAATTGAATGGCCACCATGCGCGCCAACAGCTGGGCGCGACGCAGCTCAGCGCAGGCAAGTTCAGGGCCATAGGCCTGGTGGGCCACGCCCTCTGGCAAACTATCCAGCAAGGCCGTTCCAGATGTAATGGCAGCCACGCCCACGTCACCGGCCGTGGTGATGACTTCCATCAAAGATCTCGTGGCCTCGTCCCAGCTCTCTTCACCAGGCGCCACGTAGGCAGCGACCTGATCTTCCGTGTTCTTCTGCTGCTGGGCTTGCTGCCACTGCACCCGCTGTGCTCGAAATTGGGCCTCGTGAAGATGTTGACACACCCTAGTCCACACAAGCGTCGCAACGTCACACCGCATCCAGATCTGTGAGGATATCAAAGTCGACGACATGGCATGCGTGATTCTGCTCAAGAATTGCTAGCACTACCACCGTACCGAGCCACTAGCAGCTTGCTGCGAAGGAAGAGATGGGTCGTGTCTTGACGGAGACGATCTGACTGCAGCTCCACATGCTCTGGCGCCTCTGCACGGTCGCAATACTCGTCAAAAGCCTGGTCATACAGCCTGTGAGTGTGTGTGTTGCATGCTTGAGGACATGGCTGTGCTAAAATTGAAATTAAGATAGCGCTCTGTACCTTGCACACAAGATCGTCGACAGCTTGAACGGCATCATGCAACCCCACAAGCGGCATCACTGCTTCTGTGTGTTGCGTGCCATTGCTAACGAGCCACGCCACCACCCTGTATAATGATGCAAGCATGCATCCTGCTTTGTAAAACCGCAAACCACAGCAGAGTCAAGGCCTTGCGAAGCAAGCACGGGAAGCTTGGACTCACGTCTCTACGGGAGGTCGGCACCGCTCCCACAACGTCGACAGGCCGGACAAGACAGCCTCGGCGCCGTACCAGAAACCTCCCAATTCCTGAAGACACAATGCAGGTGCACATGCAAAGACATCGATGTCCAAAATAAGATGATAAAAAGTGAGGATGGGAAACAGGGTAAGTCGGATCGCTGTGAGCTACAGCAAGCTGAGCTCTGCAATTGCTTCAGCGTCAACGCACCGGTGGGGTAGACAGAGCTTGGCGCACATGATGCTCCAAACTAGATGCGTTGACAATCGACGCGTCGACTACAACTCGCGCAAGATGGTGTGTGGCTGATAGGGTTGGGCTCGCGCCTGGCGGTGGCGCTGCAGCGGGCAAACAGCCATATTGAAGCCCCAAAAGCAAGAGGGTGCGATAGGTTGACTCTGCTAGAGCCGATCCAGGGGGCAATGCCCATCCCAAGGGCTCAGCCGCCTCGTACGATGCAGCTCGAATCATGACCTGCAAGTTCTGGACGCGGGCCGTGGAGGTCTCGTCTTGGGCCTCGAGCGCCAGCTCGCGAGCCTCGGTACAGAGGGCATGCGCACCGGCGAGGTCACCGAGCAGCAAGCATAGTTCAGCCGCTGAGATGAAACGCAGATACAATGGATAGTTGTCCAGAAGTCGGGGCAAGCCTGCATCCGTCACCAAAGGTTTCCTGCAAACGCAACACAAAAGATGAGGTTTCTTCGCGGCTTGTCAGGCCAAGCACCACCGAAACCCGACACCACAGAAAAGGGGGATGGACCAAAAGTTCGGGGAACAACAGGCGTGGCCAAAGTCTAAAGGCTGTGGTGCCTCGGACCCACGCACTTGGCTGATGTGACTTGCAACCAGGCAGCTTCGCGCATATCACAGAGAGCCAAGACCTGAGCAGCCAATGTCTCTGGAACGACATCTTGCCCGAGCCGTGCCTGCACGACAGCCAGTTCCAAGTCAACTTCATGGCGCATGGCTGCCTCGTTTGGCGCCAAAGCTAAGAAGAACACGCATGCCGATGCAGTATTGGCATTCATGAGCACGCGGTAGGCTGTGCCCATTCTCTGGCCGCTTATCACCTCTGCAATTCAACAGACCTGGCGCACAAAGTAGCTGAAGCAGCTTGAGCGGTGCCAATTCAAAGGCAGTAAAGTAGTTGAG